CCATACTGGCATTAGCTCCTCCATCACTTTGAGGTCCTAAAATATATTCTCCAACACGGGGTGAGATAAAAATCTCAATAAACTAATGGTCCTTGGAGGGTTACTCCACCCTTAAGTTCATTTCATAAGCATAAGTATTAAAAACAAGCATGACATATCATACATCATATAATCTCATTTGGTACTTCCAAGAGAGATCCTCTATGGGCTGTTTCTCTTGAGTTGTTCATTGATTTAGAGATTTACTGTTAAAATTACGAATCTGGTTTTTTCATTTACATTGTGATATTTTCTGTTTAAATCAAATTTCTTGTTGCCCATTGATTAGAGAATTAATTTTATAATATCCAAGCTCCTTGGTGCGTTAACTTTAGAGATTTTGATTCAGATATCCTTGCAGTAATTTTCTGCATACATCATAATTTCTTGGAGGTCAGTTTGATCTTATTGTGATATATTTGGTGTGATAGGACACTCTATTCTTAATTAATTTCACTTGTTACAAATCTGGAAAATTATGTATTGTGTGTTTAAAGTGAAGTACATGTGTGTGAAAAATTTGTCCTAGGTATGTGGGTACAACCAAGAGGGTTGGCGACCTTGTGCTTGGCTTGAGAGTGTGTCTCAAGGCCTGGAGCCTCGAGAATCCACAAGGGAATGTAGAGTTCTTGTGTGAGAGGAGTTGGTGAACTCCTAGGTTTGGCTTGAGAGTGTTCTTAGAGCTTAGAGCAGTGTAGGCACTAGGAAGATTTTTTGGTATTTTGTTTGATTACTTATATAATGCGTGTTTGTAAAACATGTACACTTGTGATAAATAAAATATCTGTGGTGACTTTAGTCTGGACGTAGCACCCTATTTAAGCTTAGTGGGTGTGAACCAGGATATATAGTGTCTCTTGTCTCTCTGATGTAATTTTTGAATATTATGTTTAGAGACTTAAAGTAACACTGATTTCTAATTTGAAAGTGCTATAGTGGTTTTTTGGTGACATATTTAAAGTCCAATAGCAGAATTAATATTTTCTATTTTGTGTAAAAAAGTTACATTGTTGCATTTATACACTGTAAATTGCTGAGGTACGGTTTCCGTTACTATATTGTTCTTAACATTGTGAAAAATTAATTTGGGCATATAGGGACTGAAGAAAAATTGTGTGATTGTTTACTGAATTCAAATAGTAATATAAATTGATTTCTGTCAACTAGTTAGTTGGTGTGGTGATTGAGCTCAATTGTTTAACTTTGTCTACGCATATCATTTTTAAAGATCCACAAAGAAAATATTTTTGAAAAATTTGAAAACATTTATTCACCTCCTCTAAGTGTTTTAATACATCATAAGTAAAGAAGCCACTTGACCAACAGATATGCTTGCTTTGGCTGTGAAATACTAGATTCTTTGCAAGGGATATTGTAGACTTATTAACTATCTTCCACATATATAGTAATTGGACCTTCTTGCTCTTAATGCAACTCATTCAAAATATTCTTTAACCAAATTGCTTAACGAGTGCATGCTGCTGCAACAATATATTATGCTTGACATTGTGAAAGAGAAACTATTGTTTCTTAAATGACCACAAAAATATTGCTAAGCCAATGTGAAATGCATATCTTGAAGAGCTTTTTCGTTCATTTTCATCTCATTTATAATCACAAACTGCATAGCCAATTAACTTTGACTCTTCAGAATGAGTATAGAATAATACATGACCAACGGTTCTTTTGATGTATATCAAAATTCTCTTGACTACACTAAAGTGATCTTGTCTTGGTTGCTCTATATATCTGCTAACTATGCTCCATCTACATTCATATCCGTATATAAACTATCCTTATATGAACTCTAACAAATCCATTCTTCTGAAAGTATTTATATATTCTTGGGTTCCATGCTCTTGGAGCTTGCTTCAATCCATATAGTGCCTTTTTTAACTGATAAACTTTATCTTTCTCTCCTTTTATAATATATCCTAATGGTTGCTTAATGTAGACTTTTTATTTGGAGTTTTTTTTTCTTTCTAAAAAGTATATAGGAATTTTTGTGTGTGTGAAATACTAACGTTTCATTTAAAATGATACAATATGTCATTTAAAAATGATAAGCACTTTTTCCTTTTATAAAATATCAATATTTCAAATTCTTTCACTTTAAATACTAAATAATTAATAATTCTAATAACTAATTACTAATTTAAAAATCAAAACTAACTAATTACTATAATTATTACATGAGGTGCATTGTTCTTTTATAAAGGTGTCTCATATTAGATAAAATTTTGGGGAAAAAACTCCCTATAGTTTATTCTTTTATCACATACCCTTTATATTTTATTTTCGTAGCACTTACTTTCCCTTTGATTTTTCCATCGAAATGTACCTTTAACAAAATTAGTAATTGAACTAATCTATCTATTTTATCCTTATTTTACTTGTATAAAAAGTTGCTAATTTGACATAAAGATCTTTGTTACCACTTACCAACAATCAACTACCTTGATGATTTAGTGATTTTGGCTAAAAATTGAATGATAGATTAATACTTTTATGGGTTATATTTATCTCATTCAATATGAGATAAATCAAATTCCTTCACACACATAACAAAGGTGGGTCTCGCCTCTATTTTTTTCTCTCTAATTATTTGTGGGTCCCTCTTATAATTTTGTTTCACTAACATAAGATAACTCATTTCCAACAACATAAAAAAAATATTTCCCTACTTTTATTGTAGGTAATACAAGGATAAAATGAACAAGTTAGTTCAATTACTATTGACTTGGATGAAAGAAAAAACCACAAAGGAGCTAAATGATAAGAAATAAAAATTAATAGGAGAATGGGGAATTGACCTAGACGACAAAACAACCATACTAAGAAGAATTTATAGAAGATTTTCATAGTAGAAGCTAGGTTGAGAAGATTTGTTGGACTAAGGCAGTCATCACATAGGTTTGACTAGGGACCAGTCCTGTTTGAGAGGATAACAAGACCAGCCTCCACGTCGGATGCCACCTCAGTCTCGTATGAGAGATTGACACATTTAGTCTTGTCTGAGAGGGTGACACAATTAGTCTTGTCTGAGAAGTTGATATAACTAGTCTCGTTTGAGAGGGTGATACAATTAGTCTTGTCTGAGAGGGTGACGAGACTCGTTGTTCCTTATCCCAGCCCTAGCCCCTCCCACTCCCCTTTCCTCATCTCATTTCTTTGTTTTCCTTCCTCTTTCTAAAATTCTCTTTCTCTCTCTAATTTGTTTTCTTTGCATCTCTAAGTCTTTCCATGCTCTTTTGGATTTTGGCTCTCCTCTTTTGGATTTCAGTTCTCCTATTTTGCATTTTGGTTCTTTGCCTTTCATTCTCCCATCTCCCTATATTAGAGGTGGGTATGTATTTAATTTGCTTTGTATGTTATTTCATATTTAGTTATTCGTTTTTTTAATTATTTTTGTATGTTATCTTAAAATCCTAAGATAGAAGCCTAGTTAAATAAGTAATTAGTAAAATAATTAAATATTAATTATAATTAGTGATTTAATTAATATTAATTATAATTTGTAATTACTTACTATAGAAGCCTAATTAGTTAGTAAATATAATTAATAAAATAATTAATTAGTAAGTATAGTTAGTTATTATTAAATAGAAATTATTTGTAATTCCTTAGGATAGAAGCCTAATTAGTGAAGTAATTAGTGAATTAATTAATATTTTTTACAAATTATTTTGTATGTTATTCATAACCTTACGACAAAAGCTAAAATAGAAAAATAATAGCAATTATAATTAGTGAAATAAATAAATAGTAAATATAATTAGTGGTTTAATTAAATAGTAATTATAATTTGTAATTCCTTAGAATAGAAACCCAATTATTAATTTTTATAAATTATATTGTACATTATTTATAAAACCTTAGGATAGAATTGTAATTAGTAAAATAATTAATTAGTAATTATAAGTAGTGAAATAAATAAATAGTAATTATAATTAGTGATTTAATTAAATAGAAATTATAATTTGTAATTCTTTAGAATAGAAGCCTAATTAGTGAATTAATTATTAATTTTTATAAATAATTTTGTATGATATTTATAAAACCTTAGAATTATTTAATATTACAAAAATATTTTTATGTCATTTTTAAAACCTAATTAGTGAATTAATTAATTAGTGAATAATAATTTGTGTATTATTTATAAAACCTTAGTATAGAAGCCTAATTACTGAATTAATTAGTGAACTAATTAAGCAATGAATTATAATTAGTGAATTAGTTTAATATTTTTGTGAATTAATTATTTTTATTGGTAACTTTTTATTAGTTAAATGGCTGGTCACTGCGCCCACATTAACCCCGATTCCAAAGAGCCCGGTCCCAAAGAGTGAGTCATATTAGATTCGGAAGTGTAGCGGTCACTGAGATCGCAAATCGTGTAGAACGAGGGACATTATAGATCTATGAAGCCACAGGGTGCCAACAACAACACAAATGACATCCCGTAAACTTGCAGGCAGCAGATGCATGCAAGTTTCTTTTGCATGCGTCTGGCATGAGACGATTATTTGTATGTTTAACTTCTGATTTAATTATATATTACTTTATATATGAACAACGAGTCACCTTCTCAGACAAGACTATACACATCATTCTCTTGAACGGATTGAGATGACATCCGACTGGAGGCTAGTCACGTGATTGATTGTCTCAGACTCTCAGTCCAGCAAATTTTCTCAGTTCCTACTAAGATTTTTTTTTATTAATTCTTCTTAGCACGGTCGTTTTGCCTGGCCCACACAGATCGATGGATGGCTGAGCCAAAAAAATAGATTAATGAAACGACAGCGTTTCCAGAGAGAGAGAGGGTGGCACACGGACACGGCACTGGCCTACACAGCGCCACGTTCAGGACAAAAACGACAGGATTTCGTGGTCATCTCGATCCTTACAAACAGTTACAAATATCTTGGATCACTTATTTTCATTGCTACCTCTTCTCTCTCTCTCTCTCTCTCTCTCTCTTCTTTTCTCTCCTCTTCTTAGACGCCATGGCTGTGAATCTGGGAAACTTGGCGCTATTACTCGACATGGCTTCGCCGCGGAGCGTGATTCTGGAGAGGAAGGCTCGTCCTGTTGGCGTGGACGTGGTTTTGAGCTTGCCGGCAAAGAGGGACTCATCCTCCTCCTCCTCTTCCTCCTCCTGTTGCTATGGTTCTGAGGGAGGAGAGGCACGGAACCGCGTGGTGGTGGCGCGTGGGAAGTCGAACTCGGAGAAGAACGGTGTTGACTTCGATGCAGAGTCAAGCGATGAGGAAGGAGGGTTTGGTGATGGGGACGATTGGGAGAAGGAAATGCGGCGTAGAGTGAGGGAGTTTGAGGAGAGAAGGGAGCTTGAAAAGAAGGCTGAAGAGTTGCAGAGTCGTGATGGTCCTCAAGGTGAAGAGACTGAGGAAGAGAAAAGGATGAGAGTGAGGAAAGAGCTCGAGAAGGTGTTTTTTTTTTTTTTGTCTTTTTCTTTTCTTTTCTTTTTAATGCAAATATTTAGAGTAACAATCATTTATACTTAGTGTATGATGAGTTTGTTAGGGATAAGTGTCTCAGCATGTTTCATTTTCCAAAATTTATGTAGTTGAGTTAAGAACTTAAATCATTATTTTATTATTATTATTATTATTTTTAAGGGTGGAGGGTAATGATTGAATTGGTAGTTATTTATTGTTGACATGTTGTTTTTGGTTTGATGAATTAAGAATGAGTTGAACTTAAATCATTATATTATTGTTTGTTTTTTTCAGGGTGGAGGGTAATGATTGAATTGGTAGTTATTTATTGTTGACATGTGGTTTTTGTTTTGATGAATTGAGAACTTTTTTGATGATTGAATTGGTAGTTACTTGTTGATGATATGTGGTTTGATGAATCAGGTGGCTAAGGAGCAGGCAGAGAGGAGGGCCACGGCTCAGTTGATGTTTGATTTGGGTCAGAAAGCTTACGGGAAGGGCATGTATGGACGTTCTATTGAGTTTCTTGAAGGTGCACTTACTATTATACCTCGACCTACATTATTTGGTGGTGAGGTTGGTTGGTTCTTGCCTAAATAAGAATCTCCTCATATTTCTTCCTTTTTTTTTTCCTTCTATTTATTTATGTCTAATGCTAGAAAGAGGAGGTAAAATATGTATTATGTATATCATTTTATTTTAAAATTTCAGATACAAATATGGCTGGCTATGGCATATGAGGCCAATAATCGCCATAAAGATTGCATTGCTCTATACCAGCAATTAGAAAAGACGCACCCAAGTGCTAACATCCGACGCCAAGCTGCAGAGCTTCGTTACATTTTGCAAGCACCAAAACTCAAGATATCCCAAGAGGAGATGGTGACTATACCCTTGATTGGTTCTAGTTATGACAGGTAATTTGTTTTTTTATATTGCTGATTATACTCATTCAGGTGTTTTTTGTTTCTTAATTGCAAACTCTGCCTCTTGCATATGATAATGCTGTTGTTCGTGTTTGTTTCCATTTTCTGTATAGTTACTGTACCCATTATTTACAGCTAATGGGATTCTTAAATGTTACAACTTACTGTTTGTGAATAAATATGCTTGCTTTCTTGTAAGATCAATATTTTTGGACAATTAATAATTTATTATCGAAAGAGAGCTTGAGATCCTTAATTCCAATGCAGCTCATTTTAGTATCTGCAAATCTGTTATGTAAGAAGGATTGAATACCGTATTAGAATCTCATAAAAAATGGAGTGTTTGTAGGAAAAGGATACTCTTAGATTTGGAATCTAATGTCATGGTGAAATCAAGAGATGCTGAATTATCGAAAGTAAGTTCATAAATGATTCCATACGACCTAAAAATGTAAAGGACCAAAGTAATTCAAACTCAATTGTCCATAACGAAAATGTTGTAGATTCTTCAAATAAACTCAAAAGAAGTCAGAAGAGCTATAAAAGAAAAGTCGTTAGGTTAGGTCATGATTTTATATCCTCACAAGCACTTGCTTAACCAGTAGAGAATACTAGAAGTTCTATCATATGTAAAATACTTATCTTATTTAATTTAGAAGAAAATCCAAAAACCTAGAAAGAGGCTATAACATCTAGAGACATGACTTTCTAGAGGGAAGCTATAAATGATGAAATGGATTCCATTTTATCTAAACAATTGGGAATTGGTAAATTGACCTCCAGGGTCTTCACCTATAGGTTGCAAATGGATGTTTGAAAGAAAAGTATAGACTATTTTGACACATGTTCTGGTGGCTAGAATAACATCTATAAGAGCGTTGTTTGCATTAGCATATATTTTTAATTTTTTTATATATCAAATGGATGTTTAAACTACACTCTTAAATTGTTAGCTTGTTGAGGAAGTGTATATGGAACAACCAGAAGGTTTTGTTTTTCCTGGAAATGAAAAGAAGTGTGTAAACTTGTTAGATCCTTGTAAGAATTGGAGCAAGCACCAAAATAATGACTTGAGAAGTTTGATTTTATGATTTTGTCCAATGGTTTTAGGGGCAGGTTATATTTACAAACTTTTTTGTTTACAAACTCTTACAAACTACACTATATTCTCCCGGGAGAATACAAACTTTTACAAATTACATTATGTTCTCCCGGGAGAATACAGTGTAAATTGTAAAAAAATTCAAAAAAGTTTGTAAACGGATCCTGTCCCATAACCATTTACTCTAAATTCATAAGGGAGTATGGTGTTATTGTTTTATTACATGTGGATGACATATTAATAATTGGAACAAATATGACTGGTGTTAATGCAACTGAGGAGTATATTTCATCGAAGTTTAAAATGAAGGATCTTGGAAAGTAGATACTATTTTAGGTATTAAATTAAGGGAACATGGTGGGGGGTTTTGCCTTGAATCAAACGCATTATATGGAAAATTTTTAAACAAGTTTAAATACTTGGGATTTACAATGTTATATACTCCCTATGATACTACATATATATAAATGAAAACTTTGGTAGTTCCGTTGTTCAATTCAAGTATGCTAGTGCCCTTGGTAGTCTTATGTATGTTATACATTGTACTCGACTGGATATTTTCTTTGGAGTTTGTAAACTTTCAAGATAGACTAGGAATATAGGTATTGATTGTTGTAAGGAAATTGGAAGAGTTGTCGGATACCTTAAGAAACCTATAAATCTAGGACTATTTAATGGAAAATTCCCAGCAATATTAGATGTATGTATAGATACTTGTTGGGTAATTAGTGCAAGTGACAACAAGTCAACTCCTGGATGGATTTTTACCCTTGGAGGTGGAGTAAATTCTTGAGCTTCCAAGAAACAGATGTGTAGAATTCATTCCACTATGGGATCTGAGTTTGTTGTCTTAACTGGTGCATGTAAGGAGCCGCAACCAATGCCAGCCATTTCCTTGCATTATGGTGGTGAAGCTATTATGTATGGAGCATTTAATAAGGTATACAATGGAAAATCTAAACATATTAGTTCAAGGCATGACTATGCGAGAGAATTAATTTGTGATGGCATAATCAGAATTCGATATGTCAAGTAAAAGTAATAACTTGGCTGTTTCTTTAACAATAGGGTATACTACAAAATTGGTGAGCAAACATCAATGGAATAGGATTAAAACCCTTTAATTAAAGTCACCAATAATAGAGACCCAGCCTTTCTTCAGAATAATTCTATTTCAAAGATTCAACGGGTAATAATGAGTTATTGATTCGTGACTTGAAGCACTAGAGAGATACATTCCAAGTTCAGTGCAAATACAAAGTTCAAGAGGATGATTATGAAACTCTTAATGAAGTTAATGTAAGGCGAGTTAAATACAAAAATTCTACTATATGAACAAAATGAATGGTGCTACTTCTATCAAGTTTGAGTTTAGAAAATGTTCATGAAAACTAGGATGCAGCACATGGCCATATTAATGCTAGTTATTTTCAATGAATTGGTCTTTGATGGAACCAGATTTGATAACACTGAATTTTATAAAAAACAGTAATGGAGGAGAGCTCCTTACAAAGATTAAATGCAGAAAAATAAACCCAAAGACCCCAACTCCCCCTTAGAACCAACTGCCCTAGGCTCCAAGAGGTCCCCAAATTCCCCACTCTTCACTCAATACATGTCTAACTTACTACACACACACTCTCCTTTTATTCCCTCATCTAAGAATATTCTAGAAGGCTTTCCTAACAAACTAACTGACCTACTCACTAATTTCAGGCCCATCAATACTCCCCCTCCAAAACTCACTTTGTCCTCAAGGTGAAGAAAGAGGATAAATGATAGAGGATAAATGATGTGATAGAATTGCCACCGGGATCCCATTGCTTGAAGCACCTAGACCACATTGGAAGCTTTAATTCCATTTTCTTTCCTTGAATCTCACCCAACCCCTGTAGCTATTCATAACCGAGGATCAAATCTACTCCTCACATATTGAAGATGTAAGAATCCTGCACCAACGTCAAATTGGGTAGTTTCAGTTGTAATGCTACCCCTTTACTCACATCCTGATACCCATCCCCTAGTTTCGCTGAATGGGTTTGTGTCCCATAAACAGGAAATCCCATCTCCTTCGCGACTTGGGCACTAAGAAAATTGTGGGACGCCCCTGAATCAATTAACACCATGACCTCTCTTCCTTGAATCTCCCCCACACCTTCAATGATCTGTTGCATGTCACTCCCACCACACTATGGACACTTAATTGCATGGACCTATCCTCCTCAGCTTTCGTCCCACCCTTCTCCTTCGCTCTCTGCCCCCAACAACATCACATGGAGGTTCGGGCTGTTACGGATGTGGTCCGGCCAGAAAGTTGCATCGCACCGAAAGCATAAATTTCGCTGCAAACGGTCGGTCATTTCTTCCGATGACAGCCATCAGAACTTGGTACACCTTCTATCGTTGCCTTTCGAAGCCCTCGATGAAGCCCCCTGTGTTGATCCTTGCCCCTGGATTTCTAAATGGATCGTTGGGCCTGCTCTGTGACTCATTGAGCCCATTCCCTCTATTGTTGGCCCTATTACTATTAGTCCCTTTATAAAACGAATTATTGGGCTTGTTTTGAACTACTGATCCATTGGCTCCCACATTTTCTCCATTGATACTGGTATTTCGGGTTGTTAGTGTTGCTCGAGAATGATACCCGGTCCCATATCCATTTGCTCGCCCAACTCCAGCACCCACACGGCCCAATAACACCCTAGGGTCATCATACAACTCAAATCAGCCATGGAAACAGCCATGAACACACTGGTTTTTGCTGCTCCTGCTCCTGTACTTCTTCTTCTTCTGTTTCTTTTTCTTCTGCTTCTTGTGCGATTTCTTCTGCACCTTCTACTTCTACTACTGCATCATCTTCTTCCGTTTTCTCTTTTTCTTTTTCTTTCTCTTTATCATCTACTGTTTCAACTTTAGCTTTCTCTTCGATTTCTTCTCCCTCTTCTTTTTTTGCGCTTGCATCTTCTTCGTTTCGTTCTTCTGCCGATGCTGCGTTTTTGTTCTTTTCTTCTTCGATTTTTTTAACGCTATGCGACTTCATCTTCTTGTATTCAAGTCTCTGTCTCTCCATCTTCTCGATTGCTTCATCGAAAGCCTTCACAATTTTTTTTTCAAATTTTCCCTAAGCTCTCAGGGGGTGTTTGGTTAAGGAGAAATTTTTTGAATACTAGGAAAATGTAATTGATAGGGAAATGGTTGGAAAGTGAGTTTGGTAGGAAAATGTAAAAAAAGTTGTTTGGTTGAGTAAAATTTTACTGGGAAAATTAAGTGAAATTCCTGAAGAGTGTGTTTGGTTGAATATAAAATATTGATGGGAAACTAATTGAAATTACTAAACTATCCTTTTAAAAATTGCCCTTTAACCAACAATTGTCCAAACGGTAATATCCACTGATCTCTGTCCTTGTCTCCGTCTTTGGTATCCATCTTAGTCTTATGGCTTGGCGTGTGTTTCTTTTTTGTGGTTATATTTCCAGGTTCTCCTGAAATAAGCGGGGGTTACGATAGATAGCTCCGGCGGGGATATAGTGGTCGCCGCCGCCGTTGTGTGCGGTGGTTGCCAGAGTTAGATTGCTTCTCTGAGCTTCTGAATCTGATTTTGATCCTGCCTTGCGCATTGAAGCTCTTGATCCTGCGAGTCGTACTTCAAGTTTTCCTACATTCCTCTGTTAACTCAAATAAATCCATCATAAATAAATAACGTTGATTCTAACATTAAAAATTCCACCAAATTAATGCCGATAATTGATGTAGTAACATGTGCTGTTTAGAAACGTTCAGATACTCTTTGAAACAAGGGAAATGAAAATTTAAAAAAAAGAAAGAAAAAAGAAAACAGAAAGCACTGAGTGGTTTTAGATTATCATAGTGGAACTTACAC